ACTCTTATCTGGCCAATGAGGTCGGCTACTGCTCTCTGAGCTCTACAGTTGTGATGCTCCATCAGCAACCAGCCCTATGATCATATCCCAGGGATTACCCAGTGACGGCAAGATATGCAACATGCCAGAATGACAGCTTCCACTGCACGACAACTAGCAAAGCAGAATGTGGCTGAAGGCGTACAGGAGAGACTGAAATGCTACTTACCCGTTTACCTTTCAAAGATAACATTTCATTTCAGTTTTAATTAGTGAAGATGAATTCGACAGTAGGTAAGAGCACTGATGACTGTGGGGGGGAAAAGATGGTGAGCAACAGGTGAACTGTGGAGGGCTGTTGCAAAGGAGGTGGCAGGAAGGTGAGGAAAAAAATCTGATTAGTCTTTTAGAAAGGGGAAGATAGAGATAATGAGTGGAAAACTGACTGAAGTGTTGGTAGGTAGAGGTGACAATCGTCAGACACAGAACAGGAGGGTGGCGGCGATCAAAAGAGGTTTTTGTATGAGTGGGACACGAAAAGCGCACAAATGCTAAAAATGACGGGCAAAGTTATGTTTTTAAAGAAAGTTTTAGACAACGAGGAGAGGTTTAAGGGGGATGGTTGAAGTGGCACAGGAGGGTTTATGGGGGAGGTAAAAGCTAAAGCAGACCTGCTTCCTCATCCTCCTCCTCCTCATCATCATCATCCTCATCATCATCCTCAGAGCTGGATGACGAGGGGGCTGCTGCTGCTGGGCCTGAGGTGGTGGCAGAGGCAGAGCTAGCTCCACTATTAGCAACATATCCATACTGCATGCCTGTTGGAAGGGGGGAGTGGGAGAGGTAGATAAGAAAACTGTCAAGACCGGGTCGTCGAGATGAGATGGGACGGTGGCGATCATGCAGAAAACTTAATTCCAAGTGATTTGTGTATGTATGTGCGTCTGTGTGTGTGTGTTCCCATTCTCTGATCAAAGTGGCTGATGGGTTTCCCTTTTTGATGAACAAAATAACTGCACAGAGGATAATTTTTGTTTTCTGTACATAACCCTGAAACACAATTTTTAAAAAAGGTCAAAATATTAAAATAACCCAAACTCTAACTTGTTTTATTGAAGAGGCTTACTTCAACGTTAAATGTAAAACCAGTAAAATTCTGCCAAATAAGAAACACCAAAAAAAAACAACCAACCATGCACAAAAGTTGTATGTATTAGTTGTGTGTCTGCATCACATCTCTTGTTTTAAGCATTCTCAGGGTTTTCACTTCTTGTGGTTTCTCTCAGCATGTTTTTTTTTTACAAGTAGAGGTTTCTCTGATTGTTCAACTAGCTCTACAGTTTTACCCCCCACCAGTTTAAAAATGTCCTAATATTACTGAAATGTTTCACACTGTAAATTTAAATACTAATAAATTGCATCACAATAATTTGCAACAATCATCACTAATGCTGCTTTCAGTGATATGATACCAAAGCAGCAAAAACTCATTTTACTTCTTGTTGTGACACGAATTAACCACTTAAAATATGTATAACCACACATGCCTTTTAAAGTGTGTCTATTGCAGAGGTGTGTCCTTCTGTTGCTATTGTATTATGTGTTTTCTGTTCCCTGAGGCTATTATCGCACGCACGCGCACACGCACACGCACACACACACACTATTAGGATTACAAATAAACGATGCATCTAAATCTTTAAGATTTTGCACCACATAAGACAAAGGCGACTCAACAGAGCACAGAAAAAACAAAAGCTGATATTTTAATTATTATCAATCACTACATTTTCTCCACATGTTCTGAGATGTTGTTCATCAGTACCTAACGTTTGAATGTAGAGCAATGCCAACGCTGAAGCATTTTTCCTCAGTTACTGTGAAAACAAACCCGACGATAACACTTTGTCAACATCAAGAGTCTTATAAAATCTTGTTATTACCTTGGTGGTGGCCCGGCGAGGAATGGACCGAAGTGGATCTTGAGGGCACCCGGTCTGTGTCTGCAGCCCCAGTGCTGTGAGCGACCCCACCATAGGAGTTATAACTCTGCAGCGCCTGGTGGCTTTGGTCATAGTGTTGGTGGACTGTTGTCTGGGCTGCAGCAAAAAAATGACAGAAAACAATGAGATAAATAAATAAGACATTTCCATCATGAATAAGCTCTAAAAAAAACTCAAAGTATTGTCTGTGAGACCGTGACAGACTAACTGTTCTCTTCAATGACAACATCATATTTAAGAAAAATGAAGAAACAAGGCAAGACAGCAGTGTTATTTTATTAACTAGAATGGAAAAAAAACTAAAATACTAACTCCACGATCACAGAAGTGTTGGCAGAAAATTTTTGGACCAACACAAAACAGCCTTTTGAAGCTGATCTGAACCAGGACGGATGTGGGTAAATGTTTCAACACCACAAGCATCAAAACCATCATGTTCTGGAGTGAACTTTTAGTTTTCAGGAATCTTTTGAGAGTTCAGTGGAACACAAATTTCTACATACCTGTGCTTCCTTGACCGTTGACCGTTGGCCCCTGACTGGGAGGACCCATGCCGTACCCAGGCTGCACTGGTGTTGCGGAGGCTGGCTGTGACGTGTTGTACTGATGAAGCGGGGCACCCATTTGGGTGGACAACACTCCAGGCGTGGGGGCGCTTTGCAATGAACTCAGCGTGCCGTACTGACTACTCCCTGGCCCTGATGGGTATGACACGATTGGGTAGAGGGGAGCTCCCGGGCAGGTAGCTGTTGCCGGAACCAAACTTGGTTGCTGTTGTTGCTGCTGCTGCTGCTGCTGCTGAAGGGGCTGAGCCGGGGGAGCGTGGTACGACTGCTGTCCATAGTAGGATCCTGGAGTGGCATAGGGTGGTGGCTGCTGCTGCTGCTGCTGTAAAGGCCGTTGGTTGTACTGGGTGTTTGATGGTGGAGGTGCAGGAGAGGGGAGTGTGGCATATGGCTGAGGAGGAGGAGCAGAGCCTGGTGGAGCGCTGTAAGTGGAGGGTGCTACATGATGCTGGGGGAGATGCTGCTGCTGCTGCTGCTGATGGTTGTTCTGGTAGTAGTTAGCACTGTTCGTAATGGGCGCTTTGCCGGGGACAGGATTGGCAGGGATTGTGTGGTAGCTCTGTTGCTGAGGTTGGGCTCCATAGTATCCTTGAGGTGGGTACGTGGATGGGCACGCGTGAGCTGGACCTGGGAAGAGGAGGACATGTGCCATTAACGTTAATGTCAAGTCAATAACTTCATCTCAATCAGTTCAGTGGGAAGATAAATAAAAACAGGGCATAGCTTCATTAGCTGCTAACACTCAAGCTCAGCCCTGTTAGCCCTGCACTGAATAAACGACCATCACAGCATCAGCAAGCGAACATAAAGAATCAATTACTCCTGTGTAAACTTATTTCAGTGGCTTCGATATAATACAAGATAACGAAACGATGGCGCGCTAGCTGTCACACAGCTAACGTGTTGCTAACACCCAGCGTACAGCAGCCGTTGTCCCCTTGCAGTCAGCTCTTAAGTTAGCTAGCTTTAGCATCTACCTAGCATGAGCCGAAACACTTTAATTCCAGATTTTATTCCGTCGACATGATTCACGCCGTTGAATAAAACGAATAAAACCAGAAAAGTCGTTTTTACGAAAATAAAATCCAAACCTCGGTGCCTGACAAACTAGCTGACATAGCATGCTAACGCCAGCGGGCTGGCTTATCGCATCGCCCGGCCTGTGTTACCGTTCTGACGGGGCGGCGCGGCTCCTCCGTTCGGCGTCGAGTTGTGGTTGTAGCCGCTGACGGAGCTGCTCGCGGAGCCCGGCGCCGCCATCGCTCGGTCCTCCCGTCCGGATTATATTCCCGCAGGTGCGCGGCCGGTTAGATGCACATGAGCGCCGCGGTCCCAAAGCCTCCGCGGAAGAACAGCGGGAGATCGGCGGTGGGGAGGCGGCTGCTGCTGCTGCTGCTGCGGCTGCGGCTGGTCAGTGAGGACCCGGGCAGCCTGAGCAGGTCCGCTCGCCGGAGCTGAAGCTTCCAGTGTGGATGTGAAGCCGCTTCACTCCTCCTGGTGGATCTCTGCTGCAAGTGTGGGGCCGTGTTATATTATATTATTATTAAAATGAAAATATGACTTATTGCTAAAACTAAATAATAACTTAACATGTTTTTATATTATGCAGACAACACACACTTTATAATCTTTGCACTTCACTCGCTGGTTTTTTTGGTTTTAATGCCAGTTTTTGATTTTCATCTTTTATCCTTTTAGTGTTTTTAGGGCAAATCACTTTTATTCTGCGTTATTATTATTATTTTATCTTATTCTATTATAATGTTCTGCAGCTGCTGAAGCACTTTGACCCGAGACAAATTTCCCCACGGGGACAATAAAGTACATTTGATCTCTTAATATAGTGAATATCATCTCTTCTCATTCTGAGATGTTTGTGTGCATTGTCCTTGTTTAATAAATAATAAAGATAGATTGATTTGACTTCTGTATCTGCTTCATTATGTTGCTGCCTGTTTGCACAAATAATTGCACGGTGCACATTATGCACGTAATGGGATTGTAATTGTTGTGTAGGTTTTGAATCAAAGTCAAAAGTGACTTTTCTACACTCTTTCTCAAAATTACTGTTTTATGTTTTTGTTTTTTTAAAGTTCAGGAAGTAGAAGTAAAATGTGCATTACTATACACCTGTTGCACACAATGTCTATGTCAAGAATCAAATTTATAAATTGTTTTGTTTATTCTTGCTTTTTTCATTTTCTCAATTAATTTTCTTAGTGGCACTTCATTCATTGCATTTGTTATATTTCTTAATATCTGTAAAGAATGGTTTAAGTAAATTTGTTTATGAGAACAACCATATTAATAAAGGAAAGGAAAAATACTTATCAGAATTAAGTTTGAAATTGATTATAAAACTATAAACAAATAAAAGTATGTAATGAACAGAAATAATTGCCAGCACACTGATTTTAAATGATAAAACACAAATAAGCACACACACACAAAATAAGATCAAAATCCCTTGGGGCATTATTTATTCATGATAAGACTTTCCAGTTAAAAATCAGTGGATTCTGCAGGCGTATTATACACGTGTGTTTTCATTAAAATACGAATCAACTGTTTTATCATTTAACATCAGATTCACAGATTACTTAAACCCCAAATTCATACAAAAAATGTATGACTTAAAATATTCTCATTAATTAATATATAATATTTACTGTCCCTGGAAATGCAGAATTTTTCATGTGACCATAAGAAATCATGTTCGATCACATCCACTGTAAAGTTACACATCCTGAGGGATTCTGGGACGCCCGTCTGTGCACTCGCACTCCTCTTTTTGATGTGGAGCGGCGGGGGATGCCTCGCTCTGAGCCCGTCCTTTGGTTTGGCAGGTGGGGCAGCAGGAGGTGTGTCCGTCCCGTCTGCAGCTGGGACATGACAGAACCAGCTGGCAGCAGAACTGGGTGGAGCAGAGCTTGTACTGGTCCCATGGACTGCCGCAGTACCTGCAGTCTGAGCAGACACAGAATTATTTAAGTTTGAAAGGTTTTTAACTCAAAGATTGACAAAAAACAACAAGGAAATACTTAAGATATTATTAAATTGTCTTTTCATTATTTCAAATTCTTACAGGAGCTTTATAACACAGAGAGTAAACACCAACCTGAGATGATGTCTCTGTTGGAGGAGATGGTGTAACGCTCATCAAACACAAAAAGTTTTCCGCGATAGAAACCTTCTGGGAAACGCTCCAGGTATTTGTGAATTCCACCTTTCAGCTGGTAAACCTCTTTACACACATCCTACAAGGAGGACAGGACATGTTAGGGATCGAAGTAAACACAAATCTAGCTTCTGTCTTAAGGAAGTGGAAGAAAATCCAGACAGGTCAACTTACTTTTGAGCGGAGGTAGGCAGAGCCTCGCTCACAGCGGATCCCTCCTGTGCAGTACATGAGGACCTTTTTATCTCTGAACAGTTCAAGGTTCTGGTCGATGTAGTCGGGGAAGTAGCTGAACTTACGGATGTTTGGGGCCAGACACTGAGTAAACTGCCCCTGGAGGAAAAAATAACAATCACAGTTTGTGACAAACATTGCAGCCTGACTTAAAACTTCTTATTCAACGGCATTTGAATTAAAATATCAATGGACACATTTGGTCAAATAATTTTGCCTTCAGATCCTGTGTAACTTGCAGGGAATCTGATGAATTACTTACAATTTTACTCTCATAAAAGTTGCGGCAGTCGAGGAGAACTGTGTCAGTGCACAAATCCCCTTTGACCAAAAGAGCCTCCACCTCTTTGTGAAACTCCTCAGGCTCCAAATGAATTCCTGACAGGAAAAAATATGTATATATATTTTAACCGACACAAGCACCTTCACAAACCACACAAAACAAAAACTTAGAAAACCAGCTCTTGCAGAAGTTCAGCTCATTTACTAACACATAAATTCTTGGAACAATCACAATGTACCTGTGGGTGTTCACGTGAAATTACTTGTTAGTTGTTACGACATATAAAATCCATTTCATAGTGTTGCAATAATAATAAAGTACCTGCTAATCGGTAGGAGATAACCTCGGGATCCACTCCCATGGGGACGATTTCTTTATAGACTCCAACCCTGAGGTCTGTGAAACACTCTGCACCACCATCACTGGTCTGCATGCACAAGCAGAGACAAACACTTTATATAAGAGATTATATAATAATACTTAAAGCAATAATATTACAATACAAATAACTTTATTTGTATAGCACTTTTCAGATTAAGCTACAAAGTGCTACTAAAGTTTTAAACAGGATAATGCTTGCAATAAGACTTCGTGCAAAATCAAAGACTTTCGTAAAATGAGGTTTGTTATTTATAAAATTGTGCATGAGAAGTAATTTAAAAGATGTCATTGATTTATCACAATAAAAATGACTTTTTAATATAACTAAAGTTGTGCTAAAAACTGGGGGTTGCTGCCTGGTTGATCTCAATGCAGACTTTATATCATGTTAGATATATGTGACATTAGAAAAGAGTGAGACACTGACCTTAAAATCCTCTCTCTCCATCCTGAAGACAGGATGCGAACACATTGCGTTAATGTAAATATCTGTTGCCACGTTGGTGCCACCGACTGTTCCATTAACGCCCTCGGACGCCACCCTCACCTGAAGAACATGATCATTTTAAAGGGAGAGAAAACATGAATGAAGTGATTCCTCCTTTTCAATTTATTCCAGCTGTAAATATGTATATGTGGGGTCACCTTGCCAGTTAGGTGGAGCTTTTCACACAAAGCTTTCTGCCAAGCACAGATGACCTGCGGATCCTCCACTTGACAGTAGTGATAAAAGAGGATAACCTTTCCTGGACCCCTGGCGGAAAACAAGGGAACAACCGGAGACATCAGTATTTCATGATTTGATCATTCACACACATGGATCTTCACTTTAAAATGGTACAAAGACATGAAGAGCATGACGACTAAATCCAACTCAGAGAATTAAAACTTACTTCTGAAGTTGCTCCTCAGAAATGTGGCTGGTGTCGGGTATCCATGCAGAAATATCCACCGCCTCGGCTTTGCGCTCGTTTGGTTGCCGTGTTTCAGGTTGTTCCTCCAGTTGGCTTAATAAACCCTCATATGTTTTCTGTGTCAGCTGCTTTATTTCCCCCTCATGAGTTCTGGCCACATGTTTGTGAATAGCCGAGTGTTCCCTGAAGGTCTGGCCGCAGCAGCACCAAGATGCACTTCCGTCCTCCTGACTGCCGTCGCTCTTGGACGTCACAAAGGCAGCAAATGACTGTGGAGAAAGAAAAATGTATCTTTTAATTAAAAACTGAAATGTAAAATGTGGTAAACAGATGATATGTTGTAGATATTTGACTTTTTAAAAGAAGAAAATCCAAAGACACCTTATGAATCAATGTGGACATATGTACAAATAACAGCCAATATATATTGATAGAGGTATGATTTATCAGTCCTATGATTTCTGCTAGTGGGCCCACTTCTTTCATTTAAGCACCTTTAACCCACAAGGTGTTAAATTTGACCTGGCGGCCTCCGTAGAGAGGAACTGCTCCTGATGTAAATATAAAGTATTTAAATATGAAGGGAACATTCTAGGGTGGTACACATTAGATGAAACACCAGGATCGTTTTTATATTCAGTTTCTTCCATTAGATCTCTTTCACCCAAGTCTTAAACACTGGACCTTTAATGACACTGAGTGTTTTGAGATTGTTGGATCCCGGCATGTGTGATTCCAGCTGTTGTGAACTCATGTGTGAGGAAGTGTCCATGTGTTTGTGAGTCTAGCTCCAGTGAAAGTCTCCAGCTGTGTTCTCTGAGCTTCCTCTTGTGATAACGAAGCCTTCACAGCCTCAGTGTTCAAATCAATGGCGTCTCTCACCTTCCTCCTGCAGAAGCTGTAGAATCTCCTCTGTGAAGCACACATCTGTTTCTCCTGCTTCAAACCAGCACACGTGGACGAGTCCGGCTCCAAGTCTGAGAACTCCGAGCAGGGATCCTCTGCTGCCATGATGCTTCGAAATGTAAATACGAGGAAACTGTCCGAGGCGAAGCTGTAAGATTTGATTTACATTGAGCTTCCTCTGCTTTGCGGCTTCTAATAAAATAAAAAACAAATTGTATTCAGGTTGTTAAAAGTGTAAACGCGTGTTTTTTTAAAAAAAGGTTTCATTTACACGCGCGAGAGGAACCGGGGCGCGGAAAGTTAAAAATCCTTCACGGGACGACGGATGAAAATAGACGCTGCAACTTCCGGTTCACCCCGGAAGTGCCTGAATTGAATCGGACCGCTTTTATTTTCCTGCTCCCGGTCGCGGCCAGGCTGAACCGTGAGAGACGCTCGTTTCACCGACGTGTTCGTCAGTTTCACACCCGTTCGTTTGCCCCCTCTCCTCGAATCCACTTTGCACTCGCACCGCGGCGGAGTGAAACATGTCCCGGAGACGACACAGCGACGAGAACGACGGTAAGCGGGGCGTTCGAGTGTGGTTCAGTCGTCAGGCTAACGGCTAGCTAACGTTAGCGTGTGTTTGCGGTAGCTTTAATCTGTGTCGTGGTTCGTTTCCCCGATGTTCCTGTTCACGATTATTTCCAAACAAAATAGTGATATCGGTTAATTTGATTTATCGAGGCGTCAAACCGGGGAATTAAACGGTCTCTGTAACGATTGAATTAACCGGAACGTTTCACCGTTAGCGGCTCATTTAACGCGTGTGGCAGAAAATGGGGGCGGTCACCAGCTTCTGTGAATCATGAATCTGTTTAGTTTCTGTATAAATGTTGTAAATGATCAGCTAAAGTTTAAGAAAGATCAGATTTTACACAAAAAACTAAATCTGTGCTGTGTTGCGAAATCACGTTTAAGGGATATTTCACCCAAAAAAATGAAAATTCACTCATTATCTACTCACCACTATTTCAAATGAAGGGTGGATGAAGAGTTAAGAGTCCACACAACACTTCTGGGGCCAAATCCAATGAAATTGAAGCAAATGGGGACAAATTCAATTCAAGACGCAATTATTCGTCCCCAGAGGGTTAATTGTAAGGCATGCAGAGAAAGTAAATCAAGAACGAAAACAAGGATGACAGCAGTCATAGTGTCCGTAAGCCCCGACATTTAAATTCTGTTCCAAACACGGTCTTTTACACCAGGTCAGGTCTTTAGGCCTAGTCCTGTGATCCTCTACATCACTCATTAGCATCAAATTTGTCTTCATGTGTAAAATGCACCTCTAAGGAGAAACCACAAATAAAGACAGAGCTGTCCTTGAGTGAAATCTCCTCACCAATGTTTCTCATTCATTACTGTGTTCCTCTTTTAACCTTCCAGGAGGTCAGGCCCATAAAAGGAGGAGAACATCTGAGCCCATCGAGATCGAGGACCGTCTGGAGTCACTGATATGTCGCGTGGGGGAGAAGGTAAGGACTAAGTACAGGAAGGCACACGTTTCATGTGAGTGTGAGTGAAGTTTTGAATATCGATTGAACCCTCTGGAAAGATTGAGTCTAACATCACAGGTACAAGGGTTACTTCTGGTTTATGGTGGTGTTGAAATAAAATAAAGTGATGTTCAGCAAAAACTAATGGAGAAAGTAGGATTGCACTGTGAGGAGCTTTATTTTAAATAATTTCTTCATGTCTTTTCAGAGTACGTCGTCCCTGGAGAGCAACCTGGAGGGCCTCGCTGGCGTCTTAGAGGCCGACCTCCCAAACTACAAAAACAAAATCCTGCGCATTTTATGTGCTGTGTAAGTTTACACAAGTCATCAACCTTTCATTGGTGGTCTTATTATTAGGTGGTAGTGCTCATTGAATTGTGTTTTGTTGACAGCGCCCGCCTCCTACCTGAGAAGCTGACTGTCTATACAACTTTAGTCGGCCTCCTCAACGCCAGAAACTACAACTTCGGGGGCGAGTTTGTCGAGGCCATGATCAGACAACTCAAAGAAACGTTGAAGAACAACTTGTACAATGAAGCCGTTTACTTGGTAATCAGATGTATGGGTTTTAATTTAACGATCTGTGTATACCTACATGTTTGCATTTTTAAACAACCTCTTTCTTTGCAGGTGCGTTTTCTGTCTGACTTGGTCAACTGCCATGTGATTGCCGCTCCTTCGATGGTGGCCATGTTTGAAAATTTTATCAGTGTTACTCAAGAGGAGGATGTGCCACAGGTAGGTAAAACGTAGAGGTGCGATGAATATGTAAGGAGAGTTAAAGATCAATGGTTATATTGTTAAACCTTGACTTTTTATCTGCATCGTGGTTTTTGAGATTAACACAGATACATTTTTAATTGTGCATCATGTTGAGTATGTAAGCTGTTGTGTTTGAACGATCTTATTTGTGTCCCCAGGTTCGGTCGGACTGGTTTGTGTATGTCGTTCTCTCCTGTCTGCCCTGGGTTGGTAAGGAGCTTTACGAGAAGAAGGACGTTGAGATGGACCGACTCCTCAGTCAGGTCGAGGGCTACCTCAAGTACGATTTTCCCTTTGGTTTCTTTTATTTTTTCATAATCAGCCACTGGTTCGATCACATCAGCTCACGTCAGCAGATTCTTGCATCACTAGATATTTCATGTTTTTCAGGAGGAGAGTAAAGACTCATGTCCCAATGCTGCAGGTGTGGACAGCGGAGAAGCCTCATCCTCAAGAGGAGGTGAGAGACACAGCAGTGCTACAGTTGCATCAGTTCTCCCAACATATACTCAAAGATATAACACATTCCCATTGCACGACTAAAGTGGAACTTGGGACTTGTTTTCATTTCCAAGTGACGTTTCAGTTCCTTCCTGTAGGAAACAGGTTGTGTTTGACAGATCCAGAGTGCAGGTCACTGTTAAAATGTTACCTGTCTCTTTCTTTGCCCTCCTCAGTACCTGGACTGCCTCTGGGCTCAGATTCAGAAGCTAAAAAAAGACAGATGGCAGGAGCGCCACATCCTTCGCCCGTATATCGCCTTTGACAGCGTTCTGTGTGAGGCTCTGCAACACAACCTGCCACCCTTCACTCCACCGGGCCACATGCCCGACGCTCAGTATCCGATGCCCCAGGTCGTCTTCCGCATGTTTGACTACACTGACGCACCTGAGGTTCGTACTCCTAATCACATTTTTGTTCGTCATAATTAATGTAATAAAGGATAAGAGAATGTAATTGGGTTCACAGTTCACACATTTTCCTGCCCTTTTATCTTCAGGGTCCCGTGATGCCCGGCAGTCACTCTGTGGAGAGATTTGTCATCGAAGAAAACCTGCACTGTATCATCAAGACTCACTGGAGAGAGAGGAAAACATGGTGGGTGACGAGTTGGACCGTGTGTTAAGTTTGCAAACAGACACTGACACAAATATTTGAGCCCTTCTCATTTTCCTTTTATAACCTTTCAGTGCTGCTCAGTTACTCAGTTATCCAGGGAAAAACAAGATTCCGCTCAACTATCACATTGTGGAGGTGAAGAGTTTTTCTTTTTTTTTTTAAACCTCACACTGAGATATTTAATAAAAGTCAAAGACTGGCCTGGAAATATTTATCTGTTTCTCTTTCCAGGTGATCTTCGGGGAACTTTTCCAGCTGCCCACTCCGCCTCACATTGACGTCATGTACACCACACTGCTTATTGAACTCTGCAAACTGCAGCCGGGATCACTGCCACAAGTCGTATCCTTGATTGTTTGTGTCAATTACGCCAAAGTTTTTTTCCCAACAGCCCTTTAAAATTTCTGAGCTTGTGTTTGGATGTAATTTTGACCGGAGAATCCTGTCGCTGTTAAAATCCCTTTAAACTGACCTGAAATAGATTTATTATACCGGACTTGTGTAGGTTAAGAATTCTAAATGACAGTAAACACAATTTAAAACCCCAGAAGAGAAAACGCTTGTGAAACTTTATCTTAACACCCGCCTCTTAGTTGGCCCAAGCCACAGAGATGATGTACATGAGACTGGACACCATGAACACCTCCTGCATAGACAGGTAACCTGACTGCACATTGACACTTCCTGTAAGAGGGTGGAGCTTCCATCAAGTGTTTCCTGTCTGAAGTTACACCATCACTCATTCTCTCTACATCCTCTTTTTCTTCACCAGACTAATAAACTGGTTTTCTCATCATTTGAGCAACTTCCAGTTTCGATGGAGCTGGGACGACTGGTGAGGGAATCTATCACACACACACACACACACACACACACACACACACACACACACACACACACACACACACAGTACAGTTAATAATGTGTGTCTCTCTGTAAAGGTCCGACTGCCTGGCTGTGGATCTAGAGAAACCCAAGCCCAAGTTTGTCAAAGAAGTTCTGGAGAAGTCTATGAGGTGTTAAATCATTATTTAACCTTTTTTAAAGTTGTGTAGCGTTTAAAATTATCATTTTATTTCTCTCTCATATGATAAAGTTAAGTAGATGTCATTGGTTTTCAGAAATGTAGGAATCCTTTTGTGAAACATCAAAATCCTGTATATGTTCTTTACAACATGAATTCATTTTGCTCTTTTTCCTTCCAGACTTTCGTATCATCAGCGAATGGTGGACATCGTCCCTCCGACCTTCTCAGCGCTCATCCCGGCTGAACCAATCTTCGTCTACAAATACCTTGATGAGAGCGCCTGTAAGAATTGATTCAGTGTTTGAAGCACATTTTAAAAAGACACATTTACTGTGACGAGCAGCAGCGTGATTATCACTAACAACAAACCTGCGTTCATCATAAACCTGCTCTGTGTTGAGTATATTCATTAAGATGCAAACTAATTGAAATGTGTCTCCTGTCTCACAGCGTCGTTACCAGGTTACCCAGTATCCATCACTGTGGGAAATGCCATCAAGAACCGGGCGTCCAATGAAGAGATCATGACCATCCTCAAAGAAGTGCCCAACCCCAACCAGGAAGACGACGATGGTACTATTTTATTTGAGTGGAAGGATACCTGCTGTGTAGAAATATGGTCACCAGCCTTTACAATAATAATAATAAACTAACTATATCATCATCGATAAATGCTGCCACATCATCACTGATAAAACTTAAGTAAAAAAAGAGTTCATCGTTTTGCAGTTTGTCTATAATTGTTGAATAATTTAAAATCATTAACATTCAACATCTCTGACTTTTTGTCTCGTCTCCTCAGATGAAGGCGAGAGTTTCAACCCTCTGAAGATTGACGTGTTC